AAAAAAAAAAAAAAAAAAAAAAAAAAAAAAAAAAAAAAAAAAAAAAAAAAAAAAAAAAAAAAAAAAAGTACTGATAAGCATTATAATGTTTTCTGGAAAAAGTAAAATTATGATTTCAGCCACAGATTATTATCCAAAATATGATTTATTCCTTAAAAGTCAACCTGCTTACCAAGCAGAAAAACATTGCTCTGTCTTCTCTTTGTAAAATAACACTGGGAGGATAAGAATTAGATGGGCTATATTTCACCCGTATTAATTAACCTAATTAACAGCTTGCTCACTTCTTTTTTTAGAACTAGGTGACCTTAAAAATAAACACTTTAAGTTCAGTTTTTGTCCCCTCAATCTGATTATTAGGTCTTATATTTTTTTATTTGTCCCATTTGAGCGATAAAAAAATGTACACCAAAGCTTGCTACAAAGATAAAAGTATGTAGTTAGTGCATGTTTTTAAAGATTGTCATTGTGATAGAGCAGATATTTTAATGTAATTATAATAATCAAATATTACTATATACAGGTATGGCAAACTGTGTGTATTTGAACCTTGGTGGCTCAGCTTGGCCAATCAGAACTGCTCCTCAGTTGAGTTAATGTGGTTTAGACACGGTTAGCTGAGCCTAAGGCTTGGAGCCCATGTGAGTCTCATTATAGCCCAAGGCAAAGTGAAGGAATTCTGGATAATCTGCAGCGAGGTGCCTGATAGCAAAACTAACTGAACTACGTGTGATTTTACTTCCCACTGCTGTCACACCATCACTAAACAAACCCTGCAGCTGTCAAACGGACACTGTTCAGGATCTAACGCCTGACTTCCAGTTTCTTTACAAAGCAGAGCTGTACTGCGTGGACACAAAGAGGCTGCTCACTGAGCTAAAAATCCCCGGATCAAAGTGATGCAGTTGAAGGAGGTTCTGGTTCAGCTCTGGGCTCCATCAGAACATCAAGCATGTTAATCAGATTTACGCCTCAGTGCATAATACAGCCAGATGGAGTGAAACATTAATGAAAACTTAAAAAAAAAAGTTAAACTATGCTTTTTCAAAATTTAACCAGATCTTAAACATACTTTCATTCGCTCAAAATTTCTCTGTTCAATTTTTTTTTTAGGTCTTCTCAATGTTTTATGACCAAATTTCTGCTGTAAGCAAAAGCTGATAATTAAGTTTGTTTTAAAAAACTAGAGCTAAAACAACTATTTGTATTTCTGAAATAATTGTCAACTAATTTAATAACTGATTAATCGTTAACCAGAGCATAGCGACCCACTCGGAGCACTAATTATACCAAAAGTGTAAAAAAATAAATAAATAAATTTAAAAAACACAAACATTTTGCATTTAAGATGAAAAAAACATTTTTAGCCATAAATATGCTCCATCCAGAACAGTTCAAGATTCATCTGGTTTAAAATCTGGGGGAAAAAATTCTTTAAGGAAGTGCTTGCTATCGATTATTAATTGAAAACAAATGAAAGATGAATTGATTAGCAAAATTATCGCTTTTTGAGGGTTTGGAAACATGATTTGGTATATCTATTATAATAATAACTAATGAATATTTGGAATAAATGACATGTTTCAGAAAAAAAGCCCCCCCCATCCTAATAATTTGTTTTTTTAATTAGCATAACCCTTATAGTCACTGCCAGGGTCGCCACCATCAAAAAAGAATGATGCAAGCTTTAAAACTGCACTTTATAAAGATGCACTGAAGAATAACTTTTATTGTAAAATTTGTACATAAGAAAATTATTGTAATGCAAAAAAATTAAATATACATTAACTTTAAAACCTTATATTAAAATTCATTATCTCAAAATAATAACAGGTTAAAGCAAACAACATAGGTGTATCCATGTACAAATGAAAAGAAAAAAGGTTTTAGGTTGTGAAAATATTGTCTTGTAAGGTTTCACTTTAACTTTATTAAAGGACAGATTATTTTTATGCTGGCCTTGAGAACTTACTTGAATATGTGTAATTACAAAACATGGATTTTTGATGTTGCTGCTTCAGGCTGTTCATGAGATTGATCAAGATTTATAGATGTCTTTTAATGGTTGTGATTTAATCTGAATATAAAAATCTAAACTTATTATGAGACAGATTTTAACACAATATATTTATGCATTATTTCGCCGTTTATTGCTGGAAAATGAAAGAACACAAGGATAATTTATTTTACTGCTAGATTTTCTTTTTATATTTGAAATATATGACTGGACATATATTTTATTCCTCTTTTGTGCCCCCCCTCAATCAAAGGCCCTTGGAATCTTCCTAACTCCCCCATACAGCGCCCATGCTCACTTCTCTCTCATACTGTGCTGTAATGTTGCTTCTACCCCTTAACAGAGAAAATAAACTTTAACTAAAAGCTTAATGGTTAAACAAAATGCTGTTTAAACTTTAGTAGGTTAATGTGGAACAAAAAGCCAGAGCTTTACACAGAAAACTTTTAAACTATTCAGGCTGAGACATCCAAGTCGATTTAAAAAAGTGATGTTTTTAAGGAGATATCTGGTACTTACATAAAGTCTCCATTGCGTTCAATAAGTGACAGTAGTCTGGGCTCCTTGTGGCCAGACCTCAGCTCCTGAGCTTTCACAGTTTGAGCAGAACAATCAAGGAATCATTGTGATGGAGGGTGGAAGGAGACAGTGGACATCACTCCTGTTTTACTCAAATATCACCTCTATGCCCCAATAAACTGACCAGTTTACAGTCTGGCTGTAGAAAACGTGTTTAAAAAAAAGACTAACTAATAACCATTAATCTGATCACAAACAATCAAGCAGGAAGCAGTTAAAAAGCAATCAAAGCAGCAACTTTATCCAGAAATACAGGCTGCTACTGACACATTAATAGGTTTAGTCAATGTTAGTATGAGCGTCATTATTTTGGTTAAAGTGGACTCATATTAAAAGTCAAGATGTGTTTTTCTTATCATGCTACAGTAAAGACATAACAGCGCTAACATTAGTTTAAGTGGAGTGAAACATTCATGCCTAAAAGGATATTGCCAAGCATTCCTCGTTGCTTAAAGTGGACTCCATTCTTACCAGGAAACAAAATCAGTTTAAAGTTAATGTCAGCTTTGTTTTAGGATCAGTGGGACAAGAAATACAAATCCCCACCCGGTACTGCGGCGGCCTCCTTCCGGGGAAATGGTTTGTTTTTTTTCACCGGCTAATGCTAACCGCTGTTTAGCTAGCCGCTGGAGGGTTTTCCTCGGATGCTTAACAAGGCACAGAGACCCTCAGATATCCATTAGCGCCCATCGCTGGGTCAGACGAGGTGGTGTTATCCAGCTGTCGCAACGTCCCGATCCGCGTCAAGAGGTAAAGCCGTCAGACAGCATAGCATGAGGGGGCAGCAGGGAGGAGAGACACCGCTACTTCTCCTGGAGGGAATGTGCTAAGCTGGCTCCTTGCACCACGACTTCATCTTCCAGACTTTTAGAGGCACTCAGTAATAAATACAGCCACATACTGCCACCTACCGCCCAGGAGGAACCAGTGATAGATAGATAGATAGATAGATAGATAGATA